TATCTTCTGCATGTCATGTATTCACCAGAAAATAGGGTGAACAGGACCATGTCACAAGCTTTACAAAAATAAAAGCTTTAGTGCTCTCTGATCACAGTCTCAGTTTAATAGCTAACAGGTAATGGTACACAATCTGTAGCTAAGCAATCACATAAAGTGGGTAAATTTGTATCTTTTATGTATGAAAATTGTAAACCAAGATACTGTTAAAAAGAAACCCTTGTGCTTTTGAGACCTGTGGAGCTCTTTATATTGTTATAAAGACACACAAATAAAAGTTATGTTACAATGTTTGAGCATTTCAGACATAAAAAAATACTCAGTGCTATGGTAGTGCACTTCTTTACTAATTGTTGCATTCTGGTGTCCAAGATAACTAGATCCTTCCTGTGATACATATGTGACTTTCCAGGGGAAAACGTTCATGTAAAGCAGAAATGGGGAAACGATGCCCCCTTATGCAGGTATGTTATAGACTCCAGCATGGCCAATGGGAAGAGACAAGGGGTGTGTGCGGACTTGTACCTCAACATACTCAGAAGAGCCAGAGTTTGTCCACCTGGCTGTGAAAGGTATACAAGGAATCAGTAGCAAATGTAACAATTTAGATTTCATATTTGTTACTGAAGACAAGGAGAGGAGCTTTAAAAAAATGCACATCAGAATCCTTTTGGTGCTTGCACAAGATTTATGCAACATGCTGTGAGGGAGAGAGGAGCTTTAAAAAAATGCACATCAGAATTCTTTTGGTGCTTGCACTCTGGCTGGCCCTGGCAGGCCATATGCCTCAGGCCTACACCATAGTGGGCATCCTAGAGACCCTGATGGCAGAGCAGCCTGAGGGTGCTGGAAGCAGGCGCAAGATCCCAAGTTGGAGTCCAAAGTTGAGTGAGCCACATCTGGAGAGTGGGGCTGGAGCTGGGCAAGATAGCAGGAGCCAGGTTTAAAGGAAAGGGAAGTGCAGGAGGACTTCTCACCCTTGGCAGATGTTGAGTTGGAGGATTGAGCTAAGACCTCAGAGGAGTCCCATCCCATTTTCTGCACCCCCTTGGCAGATGTTGAGTTGGAGGATTGAGTTGGAGGATTAGTAAGGAGCAGCTACTGTTGCTTGGATGGGCAAATGTGTCTGCTTCCCTGGGGATACAGGATGCTGAGTTATCTCCCAATCATGACAGCACAGATGCTTGGCTGAGCCACAACCCATTAGCCCCATCCTAACACAAAAATGAAACTGACAAGAGGAGCAACACACTAAGCAGTTGTGGCAGTTCCTCTAGGGACGGCACCAGCTACTGTATTTCAGGGACCTTCCTCAGCCTGGCATTATCGTCCTTCCCAAAAGGGCAACAGCTGGCTGGGGCCCAGTGCTGCAAACTAGACCCCCAGTCCCAGACTGGAGACACTTTGGGTCCAGTGAGTGCAACTAGAGGAAGTGACATTAATTGAGCTGAGCCTCTTGTGGACAGTTGGAGAAGGAGGAATAAGGTGTCCAACCAAATTTTCTAATCTGTTTCGCTATGCTAATAAAGACAGGTTCCAGTAGCAACAAGAGTCTAGAGTTCATGGAGCCTATAGACACACCCAGTCACCCCCCACCCTCGTCAGGGGTGATGGCAGTTACACTTGCCACACAGTTAATTGTGAGTAACTGATGAGAGAGCAGGGCACATCTCAGTGGTGTGCCTGATCATGTGCCCAACTGGACAACAAAAGATGTACCTTAGCACCCTCATTAATTAATTGCAGCAAGTAACTCAGACTTTACACAGACACCCACAGGATTCTGCCTATATCTCTATAATGCACTTGGCAGGTCTCAACTGCTTGGTTACTTTGTGCTTCCAAATACCTTCAGTCATTTTTTTAAAAAGACATTTATAGATAAAATTGGGACTGGAACACACAAGGATTTCTTTCTTGTGCCAAATCACGCTCCCCACCTGGTACAGAGGCTGATACATATGTATTTCAGTTTCTGTTCTTGGACAAGTAGCAGCTGGGGATCTCTGATGGAAGTGTTAAAGGATTACACCTCTCCCTGGGTGTGATAACTCCCTAGCTTGACCGATACCCACACAGTGGCTATTTTTTAAAAGGGAGAGAGATGGAACGGAAAAAATACAGATGCTATCCAATCCTAGGTGAGTTCACTCAAGACTAAGTCCTGCTGAACTCCAGTGGAGTTAGTGACAGTGCAGGCATTCTGTAACATGCAAGTATATACCTGATTTTGCTGTACTTATTTACATAGATGGAGAATCTTTATTAAAAAATACTGCAAGGAGCAAAGAGAGGCATATATCTTCACTTTCCAGTGGAAGAAGAAAGTTAAGTCAGCATTTGAAATTTTGTGCTTATAAGGCAGTGTTTCCCAAACTGTGCACTATGGCTCCCTGGGGTGCCGGGAAATCTACTCAAGGGTGCCTGCTGGGAAATCCACTCAAGGGTGACACAGAATCTGCTCATCCTTCCCCCTTCCTTCTCCCCTCACCCACTGTATTATACAACACATACTTGCAATTTCTCTGCTGTAAGTGTATCATGGAGAGGGAACCCTGGCCCAGGACTGGGCTGCCTGCTCTCCTATTCGCAAGGGAACTTTTCCTGCTTGCCCCCAACCCCAGAAAAAAAGATAGCTTCTCTATTCTCCTGGAAGCTGCTTCTCTCAGAGAAATCAGACCACACCAGAGTTTCCCTCAAGACATCTATACAGTGGTGCCTCGACTTACAAACTTAATCTGTCCCAGAAGATGTTCGTAAGTGAAAATGTTCATAAGTCGAAGCACCATTTCCCATTGAAATGCATGGGAATGGGATTAATCCGTTCCAGCATTTAAAAAAAAAATACAAAAAAAAGCACACAGAAAGCCCCATTGGAAAGTGCAGGGCGTTAAAAAAAAACAACCAAAAATAAATAGAGCAAGCCTTGAAGGCTGCAAAAAACAAACAAACAAACAAACAAAAACCCAAAATAAACATTGAGCAATCCCCACCCAGGGACTTAAAAAAAATAAAAATAAAATATTTAAATAAAAAGATCACCAAAAACAAAAAACACAGCACAGAAAAATACCCCCTCTCAGCCCAAACCCATTCAGAAGTTTTTAAAAAAGTGAAAAGCAGCACCTTACCGGGCAGACCGAAGCCTCCTCCAATTGCACTCACTCTGGCAGCCAGCCACAGCAGACGGGCCTTTACTCACAAGTAGTCCTACGCCTTTGGCAGCCCTTACTCATGAGTAGACCCATAGCAGGGATGGGCAGGGAGCACACTGGCTTCCCGCACCCAGTGGCAATCCGGAGCCGCCCCCGCCTCTCCTACCTCCTCCTGCACGGCAGGAGTAAAAAACTTCCCTGACCCCCTGCTCTAACTGTTGGGGCGAAAGAGGTACAAAGAAGCTGCCTCTTCCCCACCAATGGTTTGAATTTCCTGCCTTTTCCTCTGCCCTTTTCTGTTCTTAGGTCGAAGCTCCGCTCACGAGTCGAAGCAAAATTTTGCAAACGGAACTGCTCGTAAATCAAACTGTTTGTAGGTAAGGGCGTTCGTAAGTCGAACCACCACTGTATACTGTATAGTCTCTAGTGGCTAATCCTGGTAATACACTGTAGGGAGGTGTATTCTTGTGGGTTTTTTGCCTTATTTTATTTTTTCAAGTAGCGGATTAAGTGAAACCATGTGTGCTGATCCCACGGATATGGCAGTCCTACTGTATTGGGGAGCTGTGGGAAGTGGCCAGTAAATAAAGGGTGCCATGAGTCAAAAACTTTGGGAACCACTGGATATAAGGTGTTAGAAATTATTTAAAGTGGGTGTAGAAAAAGTTGCCATGAAAATGAAAGTACATTTAAAAATACTCGAGAAAATAGTTCACATTACGTTTCTAAATAACCAGGTGTTTTTCAAAACAATTGGCTGTTTTTCAGCTAATCCTGAGAACAAGATCAATAATATGATAACACTGCTTTGAAGAATTTCATTCATGTCTGCCAGTTTAAACTAAAGGATGTGATGATATAATGAGTTGAATGTTGTTTGTATGTTCTTCATATGAAAATGACATTTGTAGGTCTAATAGTACACTTACTGGTCATCATAATAATCTGAGTTTGGAATGGTCTAATGTCCTAAAACGTTAATACAATAAAACAGTGTTGGTCTAGGATTACAGATTTTTAAGAGTTCTAGAACCTTGCAAAAGTCAAAACAAGGATTAAAACTGAAATTGCAGTCAGCCAAATATGAATTTGCAGACCCCCTAGGGTCAGAAAGACCGCACATACAACAGAATTTTCCATTTAAAAATCTGGCTGGACTTCCAGAACCTTAAAGTGTGCAAACCCTGCAGATAAGGTTTGTTTACAGACAGGGAGGAAATGAAGCAACTTAAAGGAGTAATAAATATGGAAACATAGGATACACAAACAGGACATTCATCTCATCATATCAAGATACTTTCATACTGTGTTACCCATGCCTTCTATCAACGCCTCTGTGTAGCAAAGCAGCTGGACAAGGCAACAGCTCATGAACATCATGGATTTTCCTTCATAGACTTCAGTTGATTTGGCTTACAGTATTTTTCTGTGTGTGTGCTTAATATGCTTAGAGGTTAAGAAAAAAGTTATTTTCTTTAATATATTTTTTATTTTAACATCTTTGATGTTTTCCCCCATGCTTTTTAAGTAATGCTAAAGAGTATTTAAAGTTATAACGCTTGTCACTTTTAATGAACTTTAGTATTTTAAGATATGTAATTTCTGCCTTTTGTTTTCATTGTGCCTCATTAGGCTATAAATTCCTTTAGTTTTACATGAGTTTTATTCTGCTTACAACTTAGGTTTTGAATGTCTGCAACTTTTCATGTTTGTAAGGTTTTTGGATTTTTATTCAAGTATTTGTGCATAGTTTTCATAACTGTAAGACTTGTATTTTACAAAAACTCTGAAGTGTTTTGTGCATATGGAACATAGAAGCAACATAGATAAATAAAGCCTGTAGAATTAGTTAAGCTGACGTTGCCTGGATTTATTGCAACAATGAAAAGACTTACACCTTGATATGCAGATAAATTTGCATATGATTGTCAAATGTTATTTCATTTCATTCTGGAGTTAACCCTTTATTGAGATAAATGCCAACTGTGATGAACATGTTTGGATTTTTTTTCTTCACGTCTGTAAAGTTCTATAGGATTCCTAGGGAGGGTCAAGTATCAATTTTCTGATCTGACAGCCCCATATGCATGAGTAGAATGCAGTGAAAAATAATTCCCATTGGTACCATGCTGGAATTTACAGAATAGTTGCTTTGGATTTTCCCCCAGGAATGTATACTGTATAAGGTTACTGTATAGTCATAGCATAACGTGTAGTCTGACTCTCAGATACTGACTTACAAATCAGGAAACTTCTCCCAGTTTAAATGTTGCTCCTCCTCAGGACTTCACTCTGACACAGCATCCCCACTGTAACACAGTGATAATATTGACCTTACAAGTTTTTTTAAGGTTTACAAATGATGGATGGGAAGAACTTTGGACATTCTGAAGTGCTATATAAATGCTAAGTATTAAGTTAACAGTGCTTAAACGTAGAGAAAGTCTCAGTTTTAAATATTTGTGCAATGGCTATAAATTGTGGTTTTTAATTTCCCCCCTAATTGTTTATGAACATTATATTGTTTGTTCTTTCAAAACTTCTAATGTTCAGGCTGCTGTGGTTGCTAGCAACTCTGTTCCTAAGGTACAACTTTATTTTAACGACTTATAAATGGGATGAAATTAAGCTGCAACACATCTTCTCTTCATTAATGAAGAGGGCTGCATAATTAAACTGTAAACTGCCCAGAGAGTGCTTTAAGTGCTATGGGGCAATATATGAACAGCACATTTTACTGTTGCTTTGATAGGAAGGGCTATAATTTATTGGGGTTTTCATTCTACTACTGTACATAACTGCTAAAAAAAATGGAAGCATCTATCAGCAAAGAACGGGCAGTATGCTAGAAACTAAGTTACTTAAACTGGTGTTCAAGTATGTTCGGTACTGGCACAATTAGGCTCATAGTCTGTCCCTGCGCCACTTGCCAATATAAAGAAAAATAAACTGAAATAAAAAGATCTTACTCATTTTGAAATCAAACACAAGCTATCAACAAATGAAACTGATTCCAGTCATGATTCTGTAGAATTTCTATATCTACACAACAGATTTAGTGTACACATTCTTCATGTCTTTCTTCAAGATATCCCTGTTTCAAAGCTTTCACATTCTAATACTTTGTATTTAAGAAAACAAGGAATTTCACAAAGATAACATATCCACTGCCATTACTTTGTAACAGACAGATGAAGAGACTCAGAGGCACATGGGTATTTCAGTCATGCAATTAGCAGCGAGTGACAATGTTCTCACCATATGGCTTAATTTTAGTGAAAGATCTACAAACAAAAGGTTTGTTTTTGAGGAGGCTTAGCTCCACATGTGAGAGCCACTCATGTAACAGTGCCTTCAAAGAATCACCTGATATTACAAACAACAATGCTAATTTCTTGCAACAATGGCCAATCATTCTGCAAATTCCTTTAAAAATATTTATAATATCTTCAGATCACTTGTGTAACTCTGATATTGGAGCGCTGAAAGCAACACAGTGCATTGATGTTTTATTCAATTCTCTTCTTGTGCATCCCTTTTTCTTGTTCTGACCACACAACTAGTGATGTGAACACAAAGAACCTCTCAGAAAATAGAACTGCCTATTAAACTATCTATTGAAGAAGGAGTAAGAGTATATTTTTTTCAGAGACATCCAGCCCTAAATTACATATTGGGACAAATGTAGTGTTGACACCCAATCCTAACTAAATATATATTTACTTGTAAATGGGTATTAGTTTTAATGGTACTTGTTTTCAAATTGTTTAGGACTGTGGAATTTTAGTAAGATAAAATTGACTACAGCAGGGCTAACCTGAACAGCATGCTGAAAAACAGCAAAAGCATATGATCCCTACAGGTGGGGCTAGGCCAAAATATTTTGCTGCCTGAGCTGAAGGGCAAGATGGAAGCCCCTCAGTTTGCATAAAGAAATTTTGATTAGCTGACAGCTCACTCTTTCTTCAATAACAGCAGTGCAACAATGCTAGCCATCACACATATGACAAGACAAACTCCATGATTACTGGGCAAGCTGTTTGACATACAAATGTTTTCTCTGCCCCTCCACTGGCAAGACTTTTTTCTATTAAAAAAACAGCAAGCAAAGCCTCTCTCTCCTTGCAAGACGTTATTTTTTTAAAAAAAACTATTTAGGATAAAGAGAGGAGGAAACATGAGGATGAAATTATTTTTACAGCTTATTAAGTAGCTTCCTTGTAACTGCACCTCCTATAGGGCTACAACAGAACTGCAAACAAGCTAGAAGCAAGGCCTTTCTCATTTCTCCCTGCGTGAACAGTTAATGGAAACAGTCCTGGGAAACCTGAATTCCCCAGTGCAACTTTATATGAGTGTGTGCAAGAGAATTTGCATTTCCCTTGCTGCGTAGTAGCACCCTGAGTTACAAAGCACAATACAAATAACACGAATAAGTAGCACTATAAGACCTTCTCTACTGCCATTCAATGAATTCCTTCCTCCTGTGGTAATTATTCAGGTATGGCACTAACCAGAATGTGTATTGCATTATTAATCTGCAAACGTAAATTATAAACTAGGTAACAAGTAGACATGGGATATTCGTATTCGTATTCCTGGAGATATAAATATGAATATCAGCACTAGAGGTGCCTGGGAAAACCGGACCCTGCCCCTGAACCAGTAAGTCCACTTACCACTCACCACGCAGCACACATGGCTGACATAACTCTTGTGCCAATCTGGGAAGCCATATAGCCAGCACTTCTTTGCCTCCCCGTGCAGCCAATCACTCTGGTAAGAAGGCAGGAGGAAGCATCTCCCTGCTCAGCTGTTGAACAGTCAGCTGCGCAGGGAGGCAGGGAAGCGCCAGTTGGGTTGCTTCCCTGATTGGTGCAATGAAAATAATGCTGGCTGAAAGTGGACCTGCCGGTTTGTGGGGTAGGTCTGGTTTTCTCAAACACCTGTGGTGCCAATATTCGTATTTGTAGCAAAAGGGATACGAATACGAATATCCAGTGTCTAGTAGCAAGCCAGCATTGAGTTCAGGCCTGATACTTGACACCCTGTGAATACCAGTATTCTGTTACATGAGTGGACTGACTTTAGGTTTTTGGGATATTATTTGTTTTTCTTAAGAACATCTAGGTCCCAAAAACTGCCAGTCACAACAAAATGTCTCAAAAAGATAGACAATTACAGTATTTGCAAAACCAGAGATGGAAATATTACTAAAAAAATACTTAACCATTTAGTTCACTGTTTAAGTGAGCTCATCAATCTAATTCAGTTAAGGTTACTCCCTTAGAAGGGGCAACTTTTTATCAGCAATTTGATTTTAGATTGCCACTTGAATTTAAATGAGTTCAACACAGTTTAACCAGAAAGAAGTAAAAACAAAATACCTTCATTTCAAGACCAGCATAATTCAAAATTCAAGACACATGAGCATTATTTGCTTTTTTTGTTGCTGTTGAACTCTACCGCACATATTCCAGAACAGAGACAAAAATCTGATCTAAAATTTATCCTTACAGCAGAAACTCATTTTTGAAGGGAAATTCTCAGTCAAACTGTTTTAGTGTATCATCGGTAGTTTGACAATTTAACACTGAACATAACTCCTAAACTATTTTGAAATCAAGTTAATTGTATTTTAAATTTAAACTGACAGCATTTTGGCATTATTTGTAGAATTCTGAATGATCACAAATGCTGTTAACTGTATTCCTGCTGCCCTCCCTTTGTGCAGAGCAAGGTGCCTCACAGCATATGCTCAGATCAGGTATTTATTTTCTATTCCAGAACTGGAGCTTGCACACAAATCCTTTCAGACATAAATCTATTCCCGTTTTTTGCCTAGCCTTTTATGGTTTAGCAGCCGAAATCAGGAGGGGAAAAAAGGCTTTGTTGGAACTACTCTTAACCCAATCTGAGTTTGAAATGCTTGCTGATCTCCTCTTGCAAGTCACCTGAAAATCAACCAGAAGACCCCAAACTATATTCTTTCGATTCCTGTCCTGCTGAATCTCTATGCTCATTTTTAAGAAGTGCAACAATTATGTTCTTCTCTTTAAACCAACCTAAAGAATTCTGATTGGCAGAAAAATACTGCTGTTCATGTCCTCATCAGCACTAACGGTGACTATTTGTATCATTCCTTGTGCAAGGATACTACACAGTTCAAGGATATGTCTCATTTCCATTTATATTAGTATGAACATCTAAACATCTGTTTAATGCTGGTACTCCTAACCTCAGAAAAGAGCAGTATTTTTTTCTCAAGTACAGTTAGATGAGAGGACTTCAGGCACATGATTTAAAACCACTTGTCCCTTGCAGTGGAACAAAAAACTAATTTACCTGAGATCTGTTCCAAGTTACACCTGTGTAAAACAAACAAATACAAGACACCACCCCACCCTGTTTCATCTTGAAGAGACAAGAAACCAATTCAGTGTGGGGTGTCTGTAGGTTTTTTTAAGCTGAAATAAATTCTCATTAAAAAGGAGTCAAGTAGCTTACAAAAATTAAATGTTTCCCTTCACCTTCCTATAATGCAAGTAAAACCTTTTCACTATGTTTTTGCTATATATACTATACAAGGAACACTCTGCTAAATCATTTACCCTTTATATTATCCATTTTAAATTGCAGGTAGTGAGGGTCGCTCCAAAATGGCAGGCTTTTTTTTCTTGTTACTTTCATAAGTGTTTAAGTCTGGTCAATTTTCATCATCCCGTCTATAGTGAATTGGTTGTATTTCCTGAGCTATGAATGTAGCCATCTCCTGAGTACCTGCGGCAACAACACGGCATGACATCAGGTCTAGAGGTCCACCTAATGAGAAGACAGGAATTTAGTCAAGAAAAGAAAAAAGACACATAATTTGAATCCAGAAGCAAGAGCCACTCTGACATAATGACTCATACTATTTCTGGCATAATCAATCTGATGCATACAGAAAGGAGCAACATACAGTTAAGTACTACTGCCCTTTATGATAATGAAAAACAACCTGCTTCAAAACTGAGATACTACTGGTTGCTTATTTATAGGAATCACAATAATAGCATTCCCCCCACCTTATTGTTCATTTTGGTTCCAGAATAGAGTACTTGCACAATGGGTATTTCCAGTCTGCTTCCTGAAAGACAGTCTTCTGTACCAATATAAAGCTTTGGGCAACAGTGAGGAAAGGCCTGGACTGTAGTATGTTCAGCACCGGGGGAAATTAAAATTGGGTGGAAGCAGCATACATGAATCTCCATAGCACTGGACACAGCCTTCTCATTTTAGAATTTTAATTTTCCCTTGGCCTCAAGAAACACCCACTTTTAATAATAATCAAGATAAACAGTCCACTGAAACAAACAGGAAAGTTTGCCTCTGATATAACTATAAACAAAGGTATAACCATAGAATTCCTCCTATGAAAAAAATAGCTTTCTAAACACAAATTCCACACATTTGTCTTTCTAAACACGAATTCCACACTTTGCTTTAAAAAGCATATTCGCTTACCTGAAGTATCCATCACCACACCACCTGCTTCTCTGATAATAACAGTAGCTGCTGCCAGATCCCAGCAATGCAGGCCAAACTGATAATATGCATCTGCAGCACCAGATGCCAAGTGACAGAGTGCCAAGGTCGCACTTCCAATTACACGAACACTGTAATATATCAGATTTTTTTTTGGGGGGGGAGAAGAGGCACAAAACCTGTTAAACAACTGTAGTTGACAAAAAGTCAAAGAGTGTCTACTCATGAGCAACATTTTAAAAATACATCTTTTTTGTAGTACTTATGTTGCATACACAAACTGGTACAGACATGAAACAAATTACATTGTTATCTTGAAAAACCATCCCAGAATTCCTGATATATGACCAAACATTCTTTTCCTAGGTGGAAGACTAGCCTTAATGTAATCCATTTAATTTTATCATTTCATTACAGATGTTAAGGCAGCAACATGTTTATGTTACATATTCTAATTCTCCTAACAATTCTGTTGTGATAACTTGTGCCTATGGGAGGGTGCCAATATCATCATCAGGAGACAGTTTTCAGTAAACAAGAATGTCCTACTTGTAGAAATCCCTTCTATCATGTGGAAGCCTTGGGTGCCATGGGAAAAGAAAAGGAAGTCTTTAATTCACTGCAGCCCAGCAGAAGGAGAATTCCTATGATTAAAGACATCCTCCTCCTGTGGCTTCCCCACAATGAAAAGGATTACAAGGAAGCAGAAAAGCTGCAGAACACAACTTCGTAATCTCCAAAAATTGCTCTGGCTAATAATACCCTTCAGCAGATATAGTTATGCCACCAGGAAGTCAGCCAATACAAGTTTGCCTTCAGAAACCTCATGGGAAAAAGGAGAGACTTCTTGATGCTGACACTGGAAATGGCATCAAGGAATAAATATTTCTATTTGTCCACAACAATCTTCCCTAATAGTGCAGAGAAAGGGGGAAGTCTGGGGATCCTATATGTTAAATTTTCACTCAAATGACACTTTTGACTGGATGATTTGAACAGATGATTCCTTAATTGAAATTATGATTAAAAGTTTCCTTTACCAAGTTGTTTTGATTTTGCAGAATGAAAATCTTACCCGTGAGCTTGGGCCTTGAGCAATCGCTCCATGTTACTAAGAAATACTTTTAAAGTGTCAGGGTCTCGCTTTGGGCCAATCTCTGTTAAAATCAAGGCCTTTGAGATATCTGCAAGATAAATGGTTGATGAATTATTTCAACCGCTGTTCAAAGCATTTTTTCCAATTTGCACTGTTAAAATGTTTTTGAGATTTTACAATAACATTCAATTTTCATGTAGCTATATCTTTTAAAGGTTCTCTTTTAAGAGGCATTGTTTTTCTCAGTATGTTCCACACCAGCAATACTTCATATTGTGAAACTATGGAAAGGAATGTATCCAGCATCTTCGCCTCAATTCTAAACACATTTATTTGGAAGAAATAACCAGTGGCATACATGGAATGTGCAATGGCATTCATTAAAAAAAATTCCACAACCAAAAACCATTGTAAGTCTTTGGTAATATAAATTTTAGACTACATTAGCCTAAAGACTATATTACTATCTTATGCTGGCAAGTCCAAAGTTAAAAAGATACTGTGAAAGGGATATAACTGGCTTTTATAGTCCCTGTGAAAACAATATTTCCATCTTTGAAGGTCTGTATCAGTAAATCTATTCCATTTCTCTTCAAACAGAAGACATGACAGCAACCTGGAATACCATCAATCTGAAAAGCTGTCAGCATGGAGTCATAACTAGAGATGGGGGTATTTGTATAAGTAGACTATTATCTCCCCCACAGGTGGAAATAATGGACATGCGCTTGACGGAGCCTTCCTATCGCATTGTTGTCTGCAATGGATTAGCCACTCTGCGACCTGACAGACTTGTCATCCTGCCTCCTGCCAGGAGTGGCTAATCCACTGCGGACAATGGCACAATAGGAAGGCTCCATCAAGTGCGCATCCATGGCGGAATGGTGAGTGGACAGTCCGGCCCCATGGGGCCGGACCCTCATTATTTCCACCTCTGGGGGGAGATTCATATACAAATATCCCCATCTCTAATCATAACTTTTAATAAGGCCAAAGTCAACTATATTCCACTTGTTGTTCTGTGCCTTCAAGCTGGAACTGACTTATAGCAATTCGAACAGAGCTTTAGAGGTAAGTGAGATATTTAAGGAGTGGTTTTACCAGTTCTATGTCCCCACTGAGTTCTTCATGACTGAGTCTGGATTTGAACCAAAGCCTCCTGAGTTTTTGTCCCTTACTCTACTACACCGCACTGGGTAGCATATCATATTTCACTTACCTACTACTAAAAAGATAGACAACCAAAAGAATAAGCAGGTATCATCAGTTCTGTTATAGCCAAATCTATAGTTATTTATAAAAGCCTCATAAACTACTAGGTTTAAGTCGTTATTGTACAGTGTAAAAATAACAGTGACTATTACATTGTCAATCATGAACCAGCATCAGTTCTCTACATTTGTAATATTTAAAATATTTTGTTAATAGAGTGCTTACAAAATCCAAACCAACCTGTCACGTTTGACACCTGCAGCCTTTTGTCATTACAGTATGCCCCTTGACCTCTTCTACCAGTGTATAACCGTTCTTCGGTGCAGTGATAGATTACACCAAATTCAAGCTTTAGTAATTGTGAGAAAGAAAAAAGAACATGAATGCAGTTTGTAGCCTATGTATACATTCAAACGTATTATCACTATTTTAAATGTGTGTTGTTGCACTCTGGGCTACTTATAGTGATAAGAGAAGTTTTGATTATTCCAGATACAACTTTGCATGCTATATATATAACACGTAAGAAATGAGATACTCAGAAAAAGAAATGAGGCCTTCAAAGAAAAGAACGAAGTCCCTACAGTCAAACATGGTGGAGATTCAAAGATGTTTTGGGGTTGCTTTGCTGTTTCTGGCACTGGATGCCTTGACTGTGTGCACCCTATCATGAAATCTGATTATACCAAAGATCTGGGGGTGCAACGTAGTGGCCAATGTCAGAAAGCTACATCTCCACCAGAGGTCATGGGTCTTCCAGCACGACAATGATACTTAACACACTTCAAAAAGCACTTAGAAATGGTTACAAACAAAGCGCTGAAGAGTTCTGAAATGGCCAGAGAGAGACAGCAAATACGGCCAAACAGCCCGGAAAACCCACAACAACCATTGAATCCCAGCATGTGAAAGCCTTTGAGAATACAAAGAAAGAAAGACCTTAGCACAACATTGGACAACACAAACCAGATTGTCCTCAATACATATTATGATTTAGTATGGGTGATAGCACTTGGCAGGAAGCCCACAAGCAGACTTGTTCGACAAAGTATAGCTCACGTTTACTGCATATATTAATACTTCTCAGACTAGAATAAGACCTCTGCAATCCCATGGATACATGTGGAAAGGTCTAATTAACAACCAACACTTACAAATGACCTTCTAAAAGGCATCTTCAGTTATATACAATCAACCTAGAACTGACATGGCTTATTTATGTTCCTGTCCAATATGAATAATTAAAAGAAGTTATAAAATTGTTAATGTTGTTACTATGGGTTTTTCTTTGACACATATGCATTTGTTATTCATTTGTCTTGTATTTGATACTTTAAAAAATGAAAATAAAAATATTTTTAAAATACTGAAACACTTAGTAGGGCAACCTATTTTGAGAGAATTATTTGAAAAGGGCCCTGCTTTCAAGAAAACAGAAGTAGTACATTAAGACTACTCATAAATATAGTTTTCTACAAGACAAATGAACCTGTTTGACTGAAAGGTTTATATACTCTTCTACCATTTGGAATGTCCTTGGTGTACATACCCATTTATGGTAGCACGTTATAAAACTTTTCAAAAAAAAATAAGGAGTTGTTATGACTGTTGCATGAAGACTGTAAGTACCAAAATCTAGATTTTCACAAACAACCTTGCAGGATACATACACTAAAGGAATTTCTGTGTATTTTGTTTACAACCTTTATATTTTACTAATCTTAAAACCACTAAATTTTTGAAACATGTGTCCTTTATTTCTGCTAGCTGCAGCTGAAGCCTATTTTACCAGTTTATAGAACATTATATTATACCTCTTTGTTAACAGCAAATCCAATGCTAACAGCCACGGTCGGAAACCTGCATAAATAAAATTAATTGTATACTTTTAATACACTTTGTACACAATGATTTTCAACTAGTTACCAAAAATATAATGGTCTGACTAATGTTTTTGTCAAAAACATATAATTATTTTTAAACACACTTTTAACTATTCAGCACTGATTTAATGGAGTTTAGCAGGGCTAAACTTGTGTACCACTGTCACACAAATAATGGCATGAAAAGTTAATTCTGTCTTGATTCTCAGAAAGTCTTTCCCCCTGTATTAGGATTCTCTATGAGTCATGAGAATCAACAGTAAGGCCTGTGAGTAGCATAGATATGCTACAAAGAAGCCAAGAGAGAATGGCACCTGCTGTTCCAGTGTGAAGGTCTGAGTTCATTTCAAGGGCCAGATTCTAAGGGCTGCTGCCATTACAGAACCTCTATGGAAAACATACAATATATCTGAGATTCCACCAACCTCTGGCTGCTGCCCAGCATTTTACAGACCAATTTCCCCAAGATATTGCAATATTAAGACTTGCACAGGAAGAAGCCATCTACATTATACTAGTAACTGGTTCAAAATTAATTAAATGATAGCAAAATAGGTTACAAAATATAATAAAGCTGTAAATCATTACAGTGGTGCCTCGCTATACAGTTACCCCGCATGACAGTTTTTTCGCTAGACATTGACTTTTTGCGATCGCTACAGCGATTCACAAAACAGTGATTCCTATCGGGGAATTTCGCTGGACAATGTTTGGTCCCTGCTTCGCAAACCAATTTTCACTAGACAACAATTTTGACAGCTCCCTCTGTGCTCGCAAAACAGGCATTTTCGGGACCTAAGCTTCGCAAGAAAGCTATTTAAACAGCTGATCGGTGGTTCGCAAAGCGGCTTTCCTATCCCCGATCTTCGCTAGACAACAACGATTCTTCCCCATTGGAACACATTAAACAGGTTTCAAGGCATTCCGATGGGGAAATGCTTTTCGCTAGACAATGATTTCGCTAAACAGCGATTTCAGTGGAATGGATTATCATCATCTAGTGAGGCACCACTGTACTTTTTTTCTAGAAGAACACAGTTCAAAGATTATCAGAACCAGTGTTTTATTCACTTCCTTGTGGTAATTTCATGCTCACTGTAAATTGATCCCAGTAAGTAGTTAAGATGAACAGTTAAAATTACTGGGGAACCTTTGGAAGTCAGGGGACAGGGGAAGGAAGACTAAAAGCCAGAAATCACAACTGGATGGTCAGTAGTGCTCCCAATCCCAGTGGCAGTGATTCTGCAGTGATTTTTGACTATTAAAGGCTCCCCGCTCCCATTCCAAGACTCCAAATCAGTGGTGTCCAACCTTGGCCCTCCAGGTGTTCTTAGACTACAGCTCCCAGAAGCCTTCACCACCACCTCTGCTGGCCAGGATTTCTGGGATTTGAAGTCCAAGAACATCTGGAGGGCCAAGGTTGGACACCACTGCTCTAAATGCTTCCACAGGGAAAAAGGGAGCCCTGGGAAATCAGAAAAGGAGGAGGGAGAAGTTTTCTATTAATTTAAATTAAATATTCCCATCGCACAATGATGACATCATCCTACTTCTGACATGCCCAGTGCTTTGGAAAAATACTTAGATATTGTTCTCTTAAGTACTATCCTAACTTGTTTAAAATGATAGATGGTAAGAAGAATATGAACATTTAGATTAGTAAATTATTTCTGAACAAGAAAATCAATGTATATGCAAACAACCCTTGTTTGGATAGTCAGGATATGGAAAGATATGTCTAAATAAGAATAACACAGAACATGAGAAAGGAAGGAACAAGGTTTTCACTTGCTGTGTATTTACCTGTGTACAAAATTGCAGGTGCCATCAACAGGATCAATAATCCATGTAGGACTGTCATTGAGTATGCACTTTGAGCCAGCAGCAGTAGCTTCTTCCGCAATAAACCTGTAATTAATGCGCAGTAACACCATGGATGTGAAAATGCAAATTAGTCTTATTGAGGCCTGATATATGTGTCTGTTAAGAGAAAAGCCAGTTTAACCACTGCTAATTTTACTGTAGCTATTTGCTTCCATGTCTGACTTTAAACAGTCACAATGAAGGGGTCTCAGGCATGCTTTGCATATCATGTCAGATATTCCAGAATTTCAGTTGCAGGGAAAGGCTGAAATTTTCAGCATGGCTTTATCAAACCAACAGAAGTTGTTCATCCAAAAAGTAAACTAAAAATATTTCGTCATTTACAAATTTTAAAAATCAAACATATTGAAATGGGGCAAAATTCATTTATTCCTTCTTTGAACAAAATGCTGAATCAACATTTTCTACCTTGGGCTGCTACCTGCAAGAATTAATCGGGCCCAAAAATTCCTAAGGAAAGGATTGTGTTTAATGCCAAGACTAAAATGGCATAAGAAATAATTTCTAGCTATTTTCTGAATATATGATTGCAATTAGTTGCATTTTCTAACATTTCTGCTTGCGCATTTCAAAGACAGAGAAGCTTATGCACAGCACACATTAACTTTAAATGGTCATCTAAGGGGCAATCTTATGTCTGTTTGCCTGCCTGCCTGTCTGTCTGACCACCTATCTATCTACAGTTTGGAGCTTAATGAAAAAGTGTCAGTGAAGTTTTGGGACTGTCAGCTAATTAAGGGCCTAATAAGCTACTCACAGAGTACATTTTTTCATATTAATTAAATTAAATTAAATAAATTACCAAAGGCAACATAAACACCTCACAAGAGTCTAGTATTATAAATATGGTAAAACGGATTCTTGCATCTAACTGCTTTTACCATTTGTACTTCTACCTTCTAAACTTCTTGAATACTGTTTTACATTGCAAAATATTCTGGAAGTTCAGTCATGGCAACTTCCAGATAACCTCACCTGGATGGCTGAGAATCTTTACAGATATATTGCAAGATATTGTACTGCAATGAAAATAGTTTAAGCCTGGTCTGAGGATGAGCTCTTATTCTTTTTACATTACAGTGATGCCCTGCTTGATGATAACCCCGCTTGACGACAAAATTGCTCAATGAGTTTTTTGCGATCGCTATTGTGATTGCAAAACGATGGTTCCTATGGGTTTTTTTGCTTTACATTGATTAGGTGCCTGCTTCGCGAACCATTTGTTCGCAAAATGATGTTTTTTCTGGCTCCGCAAAATAGCTTCCCTTCGCAAAATGGCTTCCCTCCCTTCGCAAAATGGCTATCTTCCGGACAGAAGCTTCGGAAGACAGCGATTCTAAATAGCTGATCAGCAGTTCTCTATGGGCGATCTTCGCTGGACTATGAGGTATTTCCCCACTGGAACACATTAACCGGTTTTCAATGCATTCAAATTGTTTTTTTCCACTTGACGACAATTTCGCTTAACAGAGGTTTTCCTGGAATGGATTATCATCGTCAAGCGGGGCACCACTGCACTGTGAAAGCCCATACCTTTCTTATAGTATTAATAAAGCCTTAAGAGTACTAATAAGAATATATAATGATATATATGCTGTTATTATTTTCTCACTTGAACAAATCTGTGGTATCTCTATTAAAATTGAATGATAACTGTTTATAGACATTTTAGCTTAGTATCCAATCACGTTAAATTTTACAGGGCTTTTTTTTTTCATTATGTGAACAGATGTCCACTAAGACTGGCAGAAACCACTATATTCATTTCACTAACGGAAAACTAATCTGGATTTCAGAAGACAGAGGCAGGCGTATTTTTTAAAAATTACATATTTATTGCAGTCTCTGTATTGTATCAACCCAAAAACTGCTGCACTGTTTGAACAGACTAACTTCAGTTTTAAGTTTTGCAGAGAGAGATGTTTTAATAGGCAAATTTGTAAAGTATCCTAAGCAGTAGTGTCCATTTTCTACTGGAAAAAAAACATTGTTATTGTCCTAAAAATAAGATCCAAAGTTAAAATTTACTTACCTCACTATATGTGATATTAGTCAACTTATTTTCCTTCACAACCACATTACAATCAACCCTCGACTTACAAACGTCCCTAGATACACTGGTGCCTCGTTCCGGATTAACCCTCGCTGTGTGAAACATCGCTCAACGGAAAGTAAAAAGCCATTGGAACGCATTAAACATTAATGCGTTCCAATTCGGCCGAATACTCACCGTTGTGTGATGTTCCTGGATGGCCGGCAGCCATTTTCGCGCCCTCCCCTCGCTGAACGAGGGCGCGAAAACGCTGTGTGCGACCATTTTGGGGCATGTGGCTGCCATTTTGGACCCACCTAACAGCTGATGGGCGGGTCGCAAAGCGAAGGTCGGTAAGCGAACCGCTTACCGACCTTCGCTCTGTGATTTTCCCCCTATCTAGGTGCCGTTTTGCGATCGCATTTGTGATCGCAAAAACGGCATCGTTGCGCGGATTCGTCGCTCTACGGAGCGACCGTTGCGCGAGGCACCACTGTACAAACTTTTTGATTTACGAATGGCTCCGTTGGCAAAAATTGGCATCAACTTGTGAACGGAGCTCGACCTATGAATGAGGTCGAGGCTCCATTCGCAAGTCAATGCCATTTTTTGTGAACGGAGCTGTTCGTAAATGGCTCCCTGCAAAAAGGCAGGGAAAAAGGGCGGGAAATTCGAATTTCCAGCCCTTTCTCCCTGCCTTTTTGCCTTCAGAGCTCTCCAAGGGCTTCCTCCAATGTTGGGGGGGAAGCCCTTTGAGAGCTCCGAAGGTGCTGATCGCGGCGGCGGGGACTCCCAGGGAGGTCTCTCAGGGCTTCCCCGACACAATGGGTGACCTCCCTGGAGGTCCCTGCCACCGTGATCAGCGCCTTCGGAGCTCTCAAAGGGCTTCGATGTCGGCCATTGGGATCTAAAGCTTTTCTCAATACACTACAAAACTATGGAAGAAGTCACATATTAAACTGGCAATTCACTATACAAAGATTTATCACTACATGTACACTTAACAGAGGTGTAACAATCCCAGTGCTTTACATAGTGTATCTGTATAAGACCCACATATGTTCCATGCATACAGAGGGCACACCATGTAAACTAATTATTAGTGATACTCCTTGGTCTCAGAAAATTATGTTTCCAAACATAGAGAAAACATAAGTTCCTAGAATAGTACCATGGGCATACCTACCTGTGAGAGGGAAACTTCTCTTTTAGAGCAGAAACAATTAAATTTTCCACAAAGTGATCTGTTTCTGTTACAAGGTCTGCTGCAGATGTTTTGGTAGACACCTGTTTTTCTTCAGTGAGGGCTTTTCTAATAATCTAGAAAGAGGATATCAGATATTATTTCACAAATTATTATCTATAAAACCAAATGCACATAAAATTCTAAATGAAACTGAACAAATGACAAACAGGCAAATGTGAAGTACAAACGGAGGGGACAGGATTACAGTTTGAGATTGAGAAACAAATAGTCAAGGAATACATTGGTACTTTGAACAAGTTCAAATCTCCAGGGCTGGATTAACAGCATCCAAGAGTATTGAAGGAACTGGCTGAAGAGCTCTCTGAACCACTGTCTACTATTTTGTTTAAATCATGGTGAAGTGCCAGATGATTGGAGGAGGGCTAACACTGTCCCTATCTTCAAAAAGGGCAAAAATAAATTGGGAACTTTAGATCAGTCAGCTTTAGATCAATCCCAGGGGAAATCAATTGCTCTGCAAGCACCTTGAAAACAATGCAAGAATAACTAGAAGTCAACATGGCTTTGTCAAAGACAGATCCTGCCATACTAATCTTATTTTCTGATTGAGTAACCTCCCTGGTAAATGGTGGGAATGCTGCACAGTAATATATCTTGGCTTCAGAACTATACAGAACCATACTCAGAGAGTGCTTATCAATGGCTCCTTCTCAAACTGGGAGGAGGTAACAAGTGAGATACCACAAGGCTCATTCCTGGACCCAGCGCTCTTCAACATTTTTAATGATGACTTGGATGAGAGGTGCAGGGAATGCTTATCAAATTGGTAGGCTTGAACACTGGGCTGAAACCAACAGAAACCAACAGAATGGAATTTAACGGGGATAAGCGCACAGTTCAACAGCTAGAGGGTGAAAAACCCAAAACACACAATTACAAGATGGGGGATACTTGTCTCAGTAATACTATGAGCAAGAAGGATCTTGGAATTGCTATAGATCACAAACTGAATATGAGCCAACAGTGCAATGTGGCTACAAAAAAAGGCAAATGCTATTTTAGGATGTATTAATAGAAGTATAGTCTCAAAATCTCATGAAGTATTCTCTCTACTCAGTACTGGTTTGACATTATCTTTACTGTGTCCAGTTGTGGACACTGAACTTTAAGAAGGTTGCCAACAAATTTAAGAGGAGGGCATCAAGGATTATCAGGGGACTGGAGATAAAGCTGTAGGAGGAATGACTGAAAGGACTGGGCATGTTTAGCTTAAAAAAAAGACTGAGAAATTTAATAGCACTTTTCAAATACTGTATCTGATTGTTATGAAGAGGAACAGGATCATCCCAGAGTGCAGGAGATGTAATTATGGGTGCAGGTTACAAGAAGTCAGATTTCAGTTGATTATCAGGAAAAACTGCTTAACTGTTAGAGTAGTATGATAATAGAATCATTTAGGTGAATGCTGCTACACTGAAGGCATTCAAGAGAAAACTGGACAACTATCCATCAGATATACTTTGATTTGGATTCCTGCATTGAGGGGGTTGGACTTGATGGCCTTATAGAACCCTTCCAATTCTATTATTCAATTAATATATAATATAAAAAAGAAATATGGACCTGGATCTATTTGCCAGCCCCAGCTATAGTAGACCTGATGAATGGTAAGTCAATATTTAGATCAATTCCATCCATTCAGTGGGGTTACTCTTGTGGGAATTAGCAATTTGAGTTACCGTATTTTTCGCACCATAAGACGCACTTTTCCCCCACAAAACAGGGGGGTGGAAAGTCTGTGCGTCTTATTGAGCGAAGAAAACAGATTATATTTTCCTGTTTTCTTCTCCTAAAAAATTGGTGTGTCTTATGGAAAGGTGCGTCTTATGGAGCGAAAAATACGGTATGCTTATCTGCAACAGCCTAGATGATATTGTGCTGTTATTGATGTAAAATGACAGCCATCTTTCAGAAATATCTTTCTGTGCCAGTATATAGGATAAGGATGGCAAAGTCTAATCTTAGCCTTCTAGATCTGCTGGACTACAATTCCCATCATCCTCACACAAAAAGAACAGCACCACTTTGGGGGATGGCTGCTCTATCTTTTTACCCTCAGTGCACATATTCATATTCCACTGAGTTTCTATCACAAAAGACGTCATCATGGTGGAGACCATCATTCGTTTCTTTAAAACTGTTAAAGTGGCAAATTCCCCCCCCCCCAGTATTTTAAATTTAGTTAAATATACAGTTGAAGATCAAATATGCAAGTGACGCATTTTACCTCTTATACAGAAGTGAATAAAAACATGTCTGGAAATACTGTGCCCTCAACTGAGTTTACAAGACAGGCTGCCACATAACTAAAAGACACAGATAAATTTGACATTATCTGTCACACACTGAGCCACACAACTCAGTACGCAATAGATAATGTCTACGGAAATTTCTTAACATACAGGAATTTGTTTCCAAACGTTATGCTGTTTGTGTAACTGCACAAGAAGTTCAGCCATTGTGTTTTAACATTCTAACTTTGTTTTCTTATCTACACATTGTTTTAGTTACTGTATTTTTCCATTTATAAGACGCCCTCGTTTATAAGACACCCCCCCTTTCCTAACTCAAACATTAGGAAAACTTAGCTTTGAACATTCAGTCTCTCGGCTCAGAAATTAGAGGAGTCCCTGTTGCATCTGAGCCTACAGGCTCCACCTCCAACCAGGATTACCTTCCAATTGGTTCGTTCAGCATCAGCTAATGTCAGTTCCATAATCCTTGTGATTGGAGGAAGCTAAGCCTCATGGTTGAAGGAAGCCTGTTTACAGAGGCAAGGTATGGGCCATTTTGTTCTCTCTGTGTTCTCAGCTTACTTCAGTGTATAAGACGCCTCTCAATTTTTAGTGTAATGATTTAGGAAAAAGTAGCGCGTTATACATGGAAAAATATGGTTATCTTGCTGTATATTGCCTTTAGTTCCGGTTTTGTAAAAAAATGTAGGGTTTAAATCAAATAAATAACTAAACAACAAAGCAAGCCCAAAGTAAGCACACATGTATAGTAATTTTGGCTTCCACATTACTGAGCAGCAATCAGAAGTCCACATATCATGGTCAGCCAATCATACATTTCTTCTAATCTAATAACTAAAATGAAGCATTGCTGTAGCAAGCTCTGGCTTGCTGTAGCAAGGTCAAAAACTTTCAAGGAGTGCAAGCCATATTTTTCTCACTTTCCCCCGTTTTTCACTCTACCATTTCTGAAGAAAGGCAGCACCTTATCTGAACTGGCTTTCCAGCCTCCAGCAAGTGCTAAGTACACATTAATAATAGCAAGTTACAAGTTATCCTCCCACTCTTGTACTCTGACTGCCCACAACTGGTTCACTGAACAACTTAATCACAGTCCAGTATCATGCATTTCATTTTCTCTTTTCTGAAACTTAATTTTTTTCATTTTTCTACTTGGATAGCCATCTGGAATGGACTAGGGTCAAAAAGGAGACTTATAAATATTTAAAATAAACACTTTATTTAAAAAACACAAGCTTAAATAAAATTTAGTAACCTCTAATTAAACTGTTATCATATTTATGCAAATGTGCTTATTTAAATCTTTGTAGGTCTCCTTCTGACTACCTCTAGGGCCTTATTGGTCCTAATGATTCAATCTAATAAACACTTTGACAAAAGATGTTTAAAACTAGACCTAAATACTACAAAGATTTGCATTAAAAATATTAATGAAAAACAGCATATGAAAGCCAGTAGTTGTATTGTTATATGCTTATGTCAAATCAGTTCTGACATAACAGCAATCCTATGAAGTGGTGATCTCAAAAAGGTCCTGCCATTAGGCCTGCAATGAAAATACAACCTGGAATGTGTAAGTTTCAGGAGCATTTGAAGGCCCATTCTAGAGAGAGTGCACTGCTCAGTTGAAAAGAGTTCCACAAGGATTTAACCATTATAACAAAGGCCACCTCTCTTAAAATAACTAGGAACCTTCTTTTAAAACAATGACACTGTCCCACTGCATTGAGCAGGTTGACTCCTCTTTTAAGTTGGGTTTTTACTACCTAGCTCTTAACGCAGTCATATCAGGCAAAATCCAAAGAAACAAAACAAAATAAAAAGACAAAAACGTGTGGTACCTTAAAGACCAACTATTATGTTTTAATGTGAGCTTTCATAGACAATGCAGAGTTTGTTTATCCAAGAGCAATGTATTGTGTACATTGTAAATGGAAACCTTTTGTGTAAACTTTAAAACAGCAATTCCACTGGCTTGGAGTTGAACTCATACCGTATTAGCAACTGGAGAGCACTCCAGTTTCTCAACTAACTTACTTAGAGGAATAAAAAATCATCAATATGTAGCCATAATCAGAAACTACTTCCAGGTCAGGCAACCGCACACTGTTTCATTTTGGAAGAGGTAGCCTTGTTAGTCTGTGCAAGTATCAGGCAAAATCCAAATTTTGTCTGGTATTTAGAATATTTCATTGAAGATTAAGCCTGACTGCTATAACGCGTGAAGTTCGCTACAAAGTAACAGTACAGAAAGTGCACCTCTGAGAACGCGCGGAATACCTTACCTAAATCAACGGCAAGTGTGTTAACCTACACGTATCTGTGACTCATGCAACAACCCTGCAAATTGCTGAAGGCTTCCGGTATTCAACTCTGGAGGTCTGGGAACTGTCCACCCAACCAGAAGCTCTGCCGGCCCTTGGCTGCCCGCAGATTAAGATGGGCGGAGGAGATGGCGCGACTGAACGCAAGAAATCCAACATGCTTTTTTCAAGGAGACTTTATGGGGTGAAACCCCATGTTTCGAACCTCTTCCCGTCCAAGACCCGGGGAGGTGGGTGCGACGAAGAGCCGGCGGCCCCCCTTTGCTCCGCTCCCCACCCCATAAAGCCTGGCTGGCGGGGGTGCGAGTGGGGGGGGGCAGCTCGGCCGAGGCACGTGGCTGTGGCTCACCTGTCCCGCCTGGCGCGCCAGCTGCACCGCCACCTCCAGGCACTCCTTCCAAGGGTCGTGGTCGCAGCCGAGCGCCGCCGCCGCCGCGGCCCCTTCTTGCTCCCGTCTGGCTTTCATGGCACCCTTTGCCGTTTCGGCTCCGTCTCTTCGCCTCCTCTTCCTCGGGGGACAGCTCTGGGTTCCAAACGCCTGACGGGAGGCTGAGGGGAAGGCAGCTGCCCGTCGAGGAGGCGGCGCTCTGGGGTCCCTTCAACTTTCTTCCGGGGGCTCGGCGAGTGTTGGGCTTCTCCTCCCGCCTCGGGAGGAAGGAAAGGAGGGAGGGAGGGAGTTGTTTACTTCAGCCGCACGAGGCGCCGCGGACTCTCCTCCTCAGCCCAGCCGACCTATATTGCTCTGCCTGGGGCCCCCTTCTCGCCTGCCCTGGCTTGCCTTGCCCGCCACACTCCCAGGGAAAAGAGGGGAATCGGGACACCCCTCCGGAGCAACACGCTAGACCCCGCCTCGGCGCCGCCTCCGCGGGCAGAGTGGCGGCGCTTTCCGCCCATCCAGGCTCGCGGCAGCCGTTCAACGCAAAGCCCTTTTGCTGGCTGCTAATTTTAGGACGCTCACCGGGCTGGTTGTAGCAACCGCAAAGGCTGGGCCCTTAAAACAGATAACGAATCACGGGCTGGGGGGTGCGTTTGTGCGTGAAATAGGATGTGGCTCACAGGAAGTTCTTTACTTCTCACGGTCACCCAGTCTCCCCCCCCCCACTCCATCTCCAATCCTTTTCAGATCTGGGCTTTGTCTTTGTCAACCTGCTCCAACACCCCCCCCCAAGTCCTACGGATCGGGTTCTAGACGTGTGTGTCCACACACAGAGAGAGAATGCAATGTAATTTGAAAAGAAAAATATTGTTTGCCACAGCTGTGTGGCAAAAACAGTTTCTGCTTATGAGGAACATCAGCCCTTGGGCAAGGAGAGAATATTGTAAGAAGCAACTGCCTGTTTTTTAAATACCTTCTTCTAGTTAAGGGGCCAACAAATGGTTGAAGAGCTGAAGTCTCTTTAAGTGCAACCGTTCTTAGGGCATACAGTAATTAGATCGACATTTAGTCCACTGTTTGGTCCGCTGCAAGGACAGATAGGTTCACTCCTTTTTCTGGTAATCACAGATGAAATGGCTGGAGTGAACAGTCTGCCCTGAAAATATTTCTACCTTCACCTTTCTGGGTCTCTGTCACAGACTTCTACTTTTTTGGTGCAGGTTGGAGCGCTCTGGTTTGGTTCATTTCCAGCAATTTCTGGGAACAAACCAAAGTGAGCCTTGTGCCTGTTAAATTGCCTCCTGCTGTCAATTTGCTATATTATGATTTTGCTTAAGAAGTTAGCAGTTTCAGAATATTGGCAAATTAAACACTTCCTCTCCACCTCTGTGTTGGTGCAGATGAAGTTGATTTTTTTAAACAACACTTTTAGGGCAACAATGATGTACTACATCACTTATTAAATTTGTTTATCAAATAGAAAATATACAGTATTACCAAAAGTGGGGAGACAGGAGGGGGCAACAAAGTGTTCCCCCCTTCTTCCTCTTGTTTTAAAGATCTGGTCAAGAACCTACCTGCAACCAAATCCATTAAATATAAAATCAAATAGGGGTGCTCAACTGGGCCCTTCAAAACACAGAAGCAAGTTAAAGATCTGACTGGTAGGTTGCTACTAAGTTGCGCTGCTACTTGTTTATGTAGCTCAGCTAGTACAAGGAGCACACTTAATTAGCATCAATTCATGACTGTCTGCAGAAAAAAACATGCAAAGCACAAGTAATTCAGGTGTTCATGGGTTAGGTTGCTACCTGAAGTGGAACCCAGAATGAAGACTGTAAAAGCACTGGCATAATGACATTCCATTTAGTGCACTTTATGAAGTCTCCACAATCAATTCTTAAAGACAGTTGCATACACTGTGGTCAGCAGAGTCTACTGAAAGGAAAATTACTGCCAATCTCTGCAAATAATAAATTTAAATGTTAAAGGTACATATTAAATGAACCAGGACTTTATTTAGTATTCAAGTAGGATCCAGTAGTGCAGAAACAATGGAATCCAGTGGAACTGAAAGGGGGCACTTCAGACACCTCTGCTCCCCAACCCATGAAATTAATCAGCCCATGAAATACACATGTAAATGTAAAGTTATTCTGAAATTTGAAAACTTTTCTCGTATTTTCAGTTTGATTATCAGTTAATTTAGCAATCTTTTCCATTAGACAGCAATTTAGCATTCAACATTTCTGTTTCTACTGCAGCCAACATATTTATCCACCCTAATTTTTCCTGTTGGAACATGCTTTGTGGATATCATATGTGAAACCAGATTTATGCATAATGAAATATTACTCACTGGAACATGAGAAGGCTGCATTTGTAGAAATCTGCTTCTGTTTTCCTCACAGTGCTAGAGCTGTAGGACCAGATTGTGAAAAACAAAGCAAATATTGATCCATTATGCTATGTTGAATCACAGGCAATTTGAGGACCACTATTAGCAATTTCATCTTCAAACACACACATGCAAAGGGGAACACAACTGTTCTCTTTCCACTACTACTGCACAGAGACTGGTATTAAACAGGGAGCCAGTGTGTATTCACAAAGTTGCAGCGGTAACAATCTTGTTTTTTTTTTAAATTTACTTCTGTAAGAACGTTTGCTTTTTATCCATCTCCTGTATTGTGTGCATGTGAACACAAACCTAGTACATGTCACTAATTTGGATAATTACGGTATACAACATTCTTAAAACCTGAGATGTAGTCATGATGGCTATACTGTATGATAATCATTATAGCAATATGCTGCCCTCCAAGATAAGAGGCAGCAAGCCTCTGGAGATCAGATGCTGAGAACAGTGTATTGCCTTCATGTCTTCTTGGTGGACTTTCCACATGTGTTTACTTGGCCACTGGGAAACATTCTTGTCATGCTGTACAGTGTAGGAAGGGAGAGCACACAGTATCTATTCAGTGCACATTTAACATTTGCGGAGGTGGTTGTTCATTTCCTTTGGCATACACTTTTAACAGACTGTAGTATTGTTTGGTTTGTTCTATTCAATTTGCTTGTCAGGCTCAAGTGCAAGTGTTTGTCTTATCAGTTTTGATTGAATGAGAGATTACAGTGCATATGTTCAAATGTCAAGTGACTGAGCAATCATTCTATAGAAGAAAACCTGTTGGCTGATGGTTTCCTTTGTTTTTCTTGATCTTGTCCAGTGTCCTTCTAGAAATATGTCATCTTTTACCTCTCCCAAATATATCTGTCAGGGAATATGGTGTAATTTAGATACTAGGCACAAAAAAACATTTGTGTGACTGCATTGCATTGACTCTTCCACAAACAATAACCATTGCAAAACACTGTGCATTTTGCCAGCCCCCCTCCCCCCCGTATTGTGCAGTACTTATATGGATTGGCCCAAGGTGACAGAAATTGGCAAAACGTAGATTTAGGACTTGGAATAAGCTGTTTCTAAAATTATTAGAGAATATGTTAGTTGCATGTTGCATTGATTTTTGGAGCATGGATGATGCTTCTCTTTCTGAATAATTAAGTAAACCAGCATTATAATAAAATGTAGAAATAAACTGATAAGGGAGCTTCTCCCTACCAATTTATCAAAAGTAATGTCTTGAGAATGGTGGTTCTCAATCCCAGGTATGTGGTATAGCATTAGAATTTTTATTTCACCTGTGATGCAACAAAAGAAACTCCCTATTTTGATCCCAGTGCTGGAGATACTGTATGGATAAGGCAGCAGTTCCTGTTTTATAAAGCATCTCCTCTCCTTACAGAATGCACAATTTAAACATTGGGAGGGAGCTTGGGACATAGGTTGTGGGGGCCTGTGAGATCTGTGCGGGGAGGTGTGTGCATCTCATGGACCACTAGATGTTGCCAACCATCCATAGACCCTTGAAAGAGGTAGTTACAACCAGGGCTGACAGTTGGTACTTGGCTCGGGACAACCAAGATGTATGATGTGGGTTTCCTGAGGAAAATGGCAACTATAGCACATTGGAGCAAAGGGAACATCACCACATGGTCTCCTTTGGGAATGAGCTGATGCCTGTTTGGCTGCTCCTAAAAATATATGTTATTGATATTTCCAGATCTCTTAACAAGCAAAATGTTATAAAATCAGGGATAGGGTGGAGAGAGCTGACCTGATGATGGACATGAAACCTGAATGCTCAGTGTCTTACTATGGTTTATTATCAGATACAAGTTTGAGACAAAGGACAAAACAGCTTCCCTTCTCTAACGATATGCAGCAGTTGGCTGGATTGGCATTAGTGATAGGAGAGTGTCTGCCAGTACAATTGGAACATCTAACTACTTTAGGAAGCCCTAGACATGTTGTGTTTAAGAGAGGAACACCTATGGAGTCCAAGAATAATAGGTAGTAGGCTCCAACTCCTGCCATCCTCAGGATTTGCTACCTGAAGTGTTTACCTCTCTGTTCCCAGTGATAGGACTGAACCTGATGAAAAGCCTACAGCTTTGCCAGCTAGTAGCATAACTGATTTTGCACTGGAACATTGAAAAAGAAAATGGGGAAGGGACTGAAGTACAGAAAAGACTCTTCTTAATCCAGAAGCAGGGATGGCGTGGCCCTCCAAATGTTATGGCATAATTCCCATCAGCACTAGTCAGCATATTCAGTTGTGATGGATCACACAAATCACAATCCAGCAAACTCTTGCCTGATTTTTCAAGGTCTAGGTGAGCAGAGGTTTTGATCCTTCAGACCTCCTGTTTAGAACTGCATCCTTCCACCACCTTCTGCCCATAAGAAGACAGAAAACAACTTTCTTTTGGTGCTAGCCTGAGAATAACAGCACCCCAAAGACTGTATTTGAGACAGTACTGATAGATCTAAGATGGTTCTACATAGCAGCATCTACTTCTGGACAGTGTGCCAACAGAGAATACATGTCACCATCTAATATGAATGCCTACCTACCAGAAATACTGTAACAATCAAATAATTAAAGCTTTCTTCTTTAACTCAGTAACAGAACCTATTCAATTCTGGAGCAAACATATTAAAATAATTATAAAACGTGGTGAAGAGAGCACTAATTTTCTTAACCATGTTGGATGGTCGTATCAATTGAACCCTTAGCCACTATTAAGGAAAGCAGGAAGTTTGCTCTAAAGATGGAAGGTAGGCTTCCAATCTCTTGAACACAGGTAAGGTATTTCCACATGTTATAAACTGTTATAGTCCTGAAAGATTTCCAGAAGACTTCAACAACATCATTCTCAACTGTTTGTAATGTTTTTCTCACTATATGGAATGTTGGGAATAAATTGTATATATTCATTTTTGACAGACATGTGGTCATATTGAAACTAAATGGAACCACCTCTGAACACATTCTGCTGCATCTAATTTCAGGACTGGGCCTAGTTAATACATGAATTGAAGAGCATGAGGAAATACCAGACATCTCCAGTTAGGGCTAAGCAAGAATCCTGGCTATAGCCCTGAATAGTCACTTCCAGTTATAGCTGACAATATTGACTAAATGGGCCAATGTTTGTAGTGAGGTTCCCATATTTGGGTGTAGGTGATGAAATATTCCAAAAACTCAC